GCAACACCAGCAGGAAAACCACAGACTGCTGGATGTTAGTCAGGACTCTTAATAACAGAGCTGTCCTCCCCATTCATTACTCCACCCAAATCATGCAGCTAATTGCCCTAATATTAATGTTTGCCACCTGTTTCCCTCTTCTTAGGTCTTGCATATGGAGACATCCTTTCCCTAAGCCCAAGCTCCAAAGCTTTTACACTTCTACCATGTATGTAAAATTTTCTATCATCTGAAAAAGAAATGGAAAAAAAAATATCAGGGAATCTTTCAAAATAGCTTGAGGTAGCCAACCTTTTTATCTTTTGTACACATTATGCACAATGTATTCCTTTCCAAAGGCAACAACAGTGATGGGTTTCCACTCACCTTTCCCCACAAAGGTTGTAGCAGAGCCTGTTTTTTTAAGACAATGTCACACCAGTGCAAGCACTGCAATTTAAACAGCAGGCTTGTTTTGCAACTCCCTTGTTGGTTTCTCACTATTCAATACCACCTTTGTTAGAGGAAGAAAGGAGGATATCAGCAGACAGCTGCTTCTCTATCTTCTCACCTTTGGGGAAAACCTTGCCCCCCATTGCTGGGGGGTCACCAGATGCTGTACTTAGTAGCAGTGGCCAAAAAGACACCTTCAAGACACCCTCAGCTCCACCTGTCTTAGGGCAATGCAATGGTTTCAGTGGGTGTCAAGGTCTCTAGTTCACAGGCTCTTTCTCACCTCATAGGTTTGGATTAAGCTCTAGACACAGCAGACTGGATAGTTTTTTTCATTACTTTTGTTCATTGTGAATCTTCAAATTCACTTTTTCCTGTTGAATACATACACAGAGAATAGGTGAGAAAAGGGCCACCTCTAAGCAGTACCTCAGCATCACAGGAATTTAGTTGTTACAGGAATGTACAGCACAAATCACTCATAAGTCACTTTGGCTGGAAGAAAGTTTTGTTACAGAGAAAATAAAGATATAAGCTTGATACATTTAAAAGATTTGAAGAGGTAATATGCCAGATAGCACAGTGTGAAAAAGCCTTCTTTTCTGTAAAGGAGAAAAATATCTTACTCCTTCAGACCTCTTCCTCACTTCATCACAATGAGCCTTGTAGACTGAAACTTGATCAGATAGCACAAGGTTTAGAAAAGCACCAACTACAATTTTATGCAGATTTGCCAGCCCACCCTAGCTGAAATGAATTCTGGTGTCTTTTTTACACAAACAAGGCAGAATTTGATAGAATCTGGCAGCTTTCTGGGTCTCCATCAGCAACAAAACCACTTTCCTGTCACTTCAGCATCTCATCTTACTAGCACTGTGATCCAAACCAGCAAAGCAGCTCAGTTCTTTTGATGTCAAACTGGTAGCCTAACAAGGAACACAAAACCTAAGCCCTGATGTTTTTTCCCAGGGGTACAAGAACCTCACAGCTCCCTCAAATAGGGAAAGACCATCACAAAGATCATCCTATAAAGTTAAGGGGGAATTGTCTTTTCACAAAGAATTTCAAAAAGCAACCACAAACAAAAATGTGTGTTTTCTCAACCAGCACAAAGCTACATTTTCTGTGGCTTCTGAAAACCAGACTTACCATTCCATACTCAGCCTCATTACAACATACCATTTGAAAAAAATGCATACAATAAATGTGAATGTCTTTAGATGTCAAAATGTTGGGCCAGTGTGGTGTAAATCACCACAACGAAAGACCTAGAACACTGCCATGCAAACGACAGGACAGACCTTTATGGGCTCCGGTGTCTCCAGTCTGTATACATGTTCTGCCAGTATGAACTGAGAAACAAACAGCTGAGGGGAAAAAAGTCCTTACCATTAGGAATAATACTCATTTTTAGTTCCCACAGATCACTTATGCCCTTAATTAGAGGTGATTTGTAAAAGATAATTATTGCATCAATACTGGCTTTTGGATGGGTAATGGAGGTCCAGGATTTTAAGTGTAACTGATTTAAACATTAAAAAAAAAAAAAAAAAAAAAATTATTTCAAAACCAGGGAACCATCCATTGTGAGAATCAAATCAAATCTCTGAAGGGCTTACTTAGGTTAATCATATCTGATTGTACTGCAGATAAAGGAAGCCTTTGCTATAGACTTAACCATCCTCAGCAACTCCAAATTTAAGTAAAGCTCATTCAAGATGTGGTACATAGCATTTGTTAGTATAAAATCAAAGGGAATACTAATTAACTATAAGCTTTGCATTGACTCTTTAAAATCCCAGGAATACATACAAATTACACCAGTTAGTTAATTTAAACCTACAACAGAAAATACCTGAATTTGAGGCCTTCTTTGCAGATGAAGTGTTCAAAGGCTGCAAACAGTAGGGATGTCTCTTACTATTTAAAACTATCCCTTTGGTTTCATTCCCGCATTTGCAGATTACAAGTAAATACCAACACCTGGCAAAGCCCAAGGAAGCCAGTCTCACACAGGGGCACTGCAGGGGTCTCTCAGCTAAGGAGATGTGAGAATCCAACCTGGATAAAATACTGCAGTGGCACAGCTTCAGCTGCAAAGCCATTGCTCAGAGCAGCTTGTGGAAAGACCAATGTGTACTACACACACAGCTCTAAAAAAGAAATGTGTTGCACTGGTGTAGTTAAATCAAAGCAATTTTGTACATAAGAATGATACACTGATTTAAAATTAGTTTATCTTGATTAGTTTACTCTTGCTTCATAACAGTGCCATTTCTGTGGGCAAACAAGGCTTCAGTCTTAAATAGATGCTTGGACTGTCAAACTCAAAGGATTAGCAATCTTAAAGAATAGGTTGCAAGAAAAAGTAATTTCATGCTTTGAAAATAATTTTTATTTATTTCAAATGCTTGGACCCTAGAACCATCACTCCATAGTCTTATTCAAATGTTGATGTCGTCAATGCATTTTAAAGTAGTTTTTAGTTCAGTTAAATAAAGAGAGCAGATGCTGCTGAAGAAATGCCCAGTAAGAATTTCTATTTCTAGATAAAACTGCTTTAAATGCATAACTAGTTCCTCTAACTGTGGGATGTGATGCACACGACTGAGTTTATAGGTGTTTAGTGAGAGTTTCATGCCATTTATTATGTCACTGTGAGCAGTCAGCACAAAGATAATGATACAAATATAGAAGAGTGGGCCTATAACCTTCACTTCTTCTAATTAACAACGTATATAAATAGCATAAGTCATACCCAGTAACATTTGCTCTGGGCTGTAACAGCGTTTACTTTCCTTCTAAAAAGTTTCGTCTGCCCAAATCACAAAAAGTCCTATTTCAGTTTTCTTAGCTCAGATGAGCATACACGCAAGGCAGCCATTCAGGGGACATTTTCTGTATTTAAACTCTGTCAATGAAAGGTTCTGTAACCCAAATCCCATCCAGGCCATAACATGATCTTAAGAAAGTTAAATTTGATCAGTGTGAAAAACTGTGGCAGAAAGAGAACTAAAACTTAGGTCAGTCTAATTGAACTCCAGTAGCTTGTCTGAAAAACACCTTCTCTACTCACTTTGAAAGGGCACCAGGAACCACATGAGGGAAATGTTTTCATTTTTAAAATTGCCTTTTTCATTACTGCCTGCTCTGCTAAGAAGACTTCCAAAATCTTCATCTTTGCTACTGCCTGCTTTGCTCAGAGAAATCACTGCTGATACATCCTCCTTTTCTTTTGCTGGAAGATGAAAAATTGATAGCATTAAAGCTAGAACTTTCAAATGGACCAAGAGAAGGATTTTATGTGCCTTTTAAACCCTTATGGGCACATTAAATTTTATCAAAAATGTCTTTGTTTCTTACCCAGAGGAGCTACCCTACTCAGGTCTTCACGTGGTTTACAGTGTGCTACCTGCACAGGAAGCAGGAGGAGAAAGGGTAGACCTATTGACTACTTTGGCAAGGCGGCTTTCTGGCCTTTGTGGACAGCTCTACATCTCCCTCATACGTTTAGTAACTTCAGAAAAAACAATAAGCCTCCAGTATGCATCATTAACACTTCACCTCACTGACACCAGCTCCAGCCTTGGCTCTCCAGCACTAGGTGCTCTGAGAGATGCAGATACCAGGAATCTGTCAGCCAAGCTCCCTTGGACTGCAAACCCCCACCCCCTAGATGCCATGGGGGTGTTCAAACTGTGGGTACAAGTATTTTATAACAAATCGCAGAACAAATATATGTGTCAGAGCATATATTGTTGACACTGATTACTGATGTAAGATAAGCTACATAAATGTAGGCCCACTATAAAATAAGGATCCATCCATTTGTTCCACTCAATATCACACTTCCTAAGAGGAATCCTGGCTTCACCCTCTCAAAAAAAAACAACCTCATTTTCAAAAGGAGGATGTACCCTACCAAAAGCAGGAAAAAGAGGCAACAGCCACTGTGACTCACTTCTCTTTCTAATTAGAGGAATGAACACTATTAAAAACGAACTTGTATAGTTCACAGCTTTCCACACACCAACCACAGCAAGTGGGAATATATATGTATATATGCCACACATAACAGAAGTGATGGGAAAACCTGCTCCCAAGCCAGTATTTGTTAGCACTGAATATTCAAAATGTCATCTGATGCACCTTTATTCCACATTGGTTCATTCTTTGTGTCAGGGGAATATTCATACAGTTATGTACTATAATCATAAAATGATATGGGTTGAAAGGGACCTTAAAGCTCATCCAGTTCCAATCCCCCTGCCATGCAAAGTGACACCTTCCACTAGACCAGGTTGTTCCAAGCCCCATCCAACCTGGCCTTGGCAGCCACAGCTTTTCTGGGCAATCTGTCCCAGTGTCTCCCACCCTTAGAGTACAGAATATTTTCCTTGTAATAACTGACATAAATCTACCCTCTTTCAGTTTAAAGCCATTACCCTTTGTTCTTTCCCTACATGCCCCTGTAAAAAGTCTCTTTCCACTTCCTTGTAGCCCCCTGTAGTCCCCTTTGGGTACTGGAAGGCTACTCTAAGGTCTCCCCTGAACTTTCTCTTCTCCAGGCTGAACAACCCCAACTCTCTCGGCCTGTCTTCATAGAAGTGCTCAAGCCCTCTGATCACCTTCATGGCATCCTCTGGACTCACTCCAACAGGTCCATGTCCTTATTGCACTGGGTGTCCCAGAGCTGGATGCAGGACTGCAGGTGGGGCCTGACAAGATCACAGCTTCAGAAGGGGAGAATCACCTGCGGTCACTCTTCTTTTTATGCAGCCCAGCATATGGTTGGCTTTCTGGGCTGCAAGCCCACACAGTCAGCTCACGTTGAGCTTCTCATCAACCAACACCCCCAAGTCTTTCTCCTCAGGGCTTCTCTCAATACATTCTCTACCCAGCCTGTTAGTCGTGCTTGGGATTGCCACAGCCCACACTGCGGCACTTGGAACTATAATGAACAAGTCTCACCCTGAAGTTGGGGCTGAACGTGTTTTCCAGTTTTATAAGCAAATGCTAAGCAGATTGGGATTCTTTTAACCACACATCTATGTAATGAAAATTATTTCAAATGCTGCAATAGAAGAGTCATGTTCAACTAATTATAGCTCAGAACATTTTCTTACTACACATACTGGAAAAGAAATCCCAGTCCTCAAAGTTCCTCAATTTTTGTAGCCTCCAGCAAAATACATTTCTTACCTTTACTAGCACAATCTTTACTATTTAGCCATTTAAGAAAGTTAGCTTTTGAGTGAATCTCTAATCTTCTGACTGGTAGGATTATAGATGTAATGTGTTTCCTCAAGGGATTTTTCTACTTAAAGAATCAGTCTGCAATCTTCTCACTGTCTAAATTATAGCCTGTGATTCAATATCATCCATTTCCACATCTTCAAAAACATGAATGGAGGGAAATCCCATTTCTACAGGTGGCTCCCCATGGCTCTTTGCCATCAGAAGAGCTTAAGAGAGTGAGTTACACTCTCCAGAAACCTTCATATGTATCTAAATTAGAAGTTGTTTTGTCACCACTGCCTGAAAATAGAAAGAGACTGGGAGATGGCTGGGTGTCTGTGAATACTGCTTACAGAGCCGGGTCGTAAGAGACATATCTGCAACCCAGATAAAAGCTGGCAAGACTGGCTCATCACATGGATACATTTGCATCAGGTAGTGCATGCCACAAGTTTTAATGGAAAAAGACAGTGAAAGAAGAAGACATCCACAGCACACACATCTTCCCTTCCCCTTCACCCCATGACTTGTTGTAAGAATATGGACAACACAAGCTGCCCGGTAACTGAAAGCAAGGAAAAGATCCATGGCAGACCTGCAAAGAGGGACTGCAGGACGCAGAGCATTCACAAGACTGTGTGAGGTCATTGCTTTCAGCATGCCCTTGGCTCTACCCAGCTGTAAGTCCCATCCTACTGTTAGGTGACATCTATAGCATTACAGCCAAGCACTCAGCCTCAGTGTTTTCCAGTACAGCACAAAGAGCCTGAAAACAAGGCTTCCCCACAGTGCATCCCCATGACACTCCTCACACAATGCAGAGGTGGGTTGATCAGCTAAAGGCAGGGCATGACGTGCAGATAAGTCCCTCCCTTTAATTTGTCAGATGCTTCAGTAACTAAGCAATAAAATATCACAGAGCTAAGTCTAGCACTCAAATACGAGTGGTTTACAGTCCAGCTTTTACCAAGCTTAAGAACCACACGAGTTTCTTCCCCTGGGAGGAAGGCCCACTGCTGTGGAGAAGGCATGGTAGAACATAGAGCAATGAAGGCTAAACTGCAGTAAATTTTAGTTCACATTAACATGTGCTGTGAATCCCAGTAAATAGGAGTATAAGAAAGGCAACCTCTTTCACTGTCCCTACACTGAAAATGGCCTTATCCAGTACTGATATGAAGCCATCTGGAGATGATGATTTACTTTTTCAGCCATCCTAAGGTCAAAGCCTAGAATGTGCAACACAGCATTTACACAAAGTCATGCTAATGAAATCAGGCTGATGAATTTATTTTTACCTGATAAAATGCTGCCAAGTATAGCTTTAATAATAATTTTTAGAAATTATAAAAGTCTTTTGATTAAAGCAGTTATATATAGATGAAAAAGCTAAAATATTTATTCTACAGTTAAATGAAAAAATGCTCTCTCACAACAAATGCAGACCCAGCGCATCAGTTGCCTGGTGTCTGGCATTCTATGTGAACATTTCCCAGAGCTACCAATGTCAGTGCTGGCCAGGACAGCTATAAGTCTGTTCAAATATTTAAACTCAGAAGAAGCATTTTTTTTGACTGAAATCTGTTACAGATGTTTTTGTTTTGGCATGACTGTTTAAAAGCAAGGATCATGGACCTTGTCAGTATGTGAGCATGACAGGGAAAGGAACAGAAGTATGAGATTTTGCCTAATTAAAATCTGCATTGGTTTGACTTGCACTCTTAACACTCAGTCAATCTGAAGTTCCAGATAAATATTCATCAATGCACTTACCACAGGTCTGGTAATGTTATCCTGAAACTTAGATGCCTGATTCTCCTTGGATGCCTAGGTAGGTCATCCACACTAACCAAAAAGATTCATCCATATAGAAAAGCTCAAAGAATGCTCTGAATAACTCTTTCTTCTATAGAAAAAGCTGCATTTCTCAGTATACATTTTTCAAAGTCTTCTAGCTGCCTGGGCAACTAAATTCTACATTTCATTGTAAACTAAACGGGAAGTGTAACCAATTTGATATATAACACAAATACCAGGGAATATTCCATCAGATCAAAAAAGGGACTAGCTCAGAACGGAGGAAATCAAGATTCTTCTTCCAGCATAACTAGTCTGGGCAACCCCTATCTATAATTCTGCTACTAAGGGAAAGAGCATAATGAGTTTTTCCTAGAAAATAATAAAAAAAAAAAAAAAAAACCACTAGCCAGCACTACAACAGTGAAAAGGACAAAATTAAGTTTAAAAAGCTAGAAGTTTTAGGGAAATGCAAGTCTTCAAACTCAGAGACTTAAGCCATGTTTGATGTGATGTAAAAGCTGCATAATACCGTCTCCCCAAGGGGTGTTTGCACAACTTCTTTGGAGGTACCTGACTACAGCACTGAACTGGGGTCTGACCCAGTCTGACAGTTTGTGTGTCTGTTTACACATAATAAGGTAGAATTAAAACTACAAGAAAAAAACCAAACAACAGAGACGTATTCCTGATGAGCCACATTGCAGGGACAGTTTTGAAAATATTAGCTACTCTTTTTTTTAAACAGAGAGACAGGATAAACCTACTAGATTTATTTTTTTTTTCATATTATAATTAAATCCCCTATCATGGAAAACAGAAAAAAAAACACTTTCAGTTTTCCCTATGAGTTTTCTGTAGCAGCCATTATTAACGCCTTTGTTAAGCAGAACTCGGGTAGAACCAAGAAAACAGGAGCTAACCTGCTTCTCCTTTGTGGCTCTGATCTGGGTGTCCAAAGAAGGATTTGTTGCAGTCATTGACTTGCCACCTCCCTGAGGCATTCAACTGTACCTAGCACAACGACGTGGAAAGCATTTATGAGTAAATACACAATAACATTCGTATGTTTGCAGCTTCTGTGAAAGGTGTGGGTAGGGTGATTTCTCTGCTGTGTTTCCAGAGCAAGTCAAACCCATTAATTAAATTAATGCTCTTGTCCTGCATCAAAAGGAAAACCAGAGCCTGATTTATGGGCACTGACAGCTGCAGGAACCAGGAGCTGACTTTGTTCACTCCCTCCCTTTAATTGTTTTTTAAGCATCTGGGTAGGTTGATTTCTCAGATTCTGATCATATGAAAAGCTGCATGTCTTCAATTTCTATAAAGAAAGAAAAGGAAGCTGCTTCATGCAGAGTGTGATATGGCAGAATGTCATGGTTTCTCAGTGCTGGCTGAATAGTGACTATAGGAATTTGGTACCTGAACATCTCTGTGCCCAAGAGACTTGCAGGATGAAGTTGTAAAAGGTTCTGCTCATAAGACATTTCTTATCTAGTCATTATTTTACTTGTCCTGACAACAAAAACTTTAGCATGAGAAAGCAGTACCTGAGGAACAGTGTAATCTGCAACAAAGAAATTCTTTTTAACAGGCTCAGAGAAATTGCCACAATACCTTCTTCTAAAGGGAATATAAATATCTCCATATTGCCATAGCACATAGTGATATATGCAAATAGCAATGCACAGCAATACACCAGTATGTTCTTTTCTTCTAGGTTCTTCAAACAGGAGACAGATTGCTATCATTTTGGGCTGAAATCTGGAGGTAAGCAATCAGAACACATTCAATACCCAAGATAAGAACAGGAAACTTGTACAGAAGTGGAAAATTTTGGATGCTGAACTTTCACCCTCAGCTTCTGGGAGACTTTTACTAATAAAGAACTATATAAACATAGAGTATATTGACACTGTATCACCTGCCCAGCAGAGCCATATGCTGCTGCTACAGACACTGCCAATAAAGATCAAAGCTTCCCTTGCATTAGTGAGCTAAACATGGGTGGTTTATGTTTCATACCATGCTGTAGATGTATACTGACCTCTATGAAGTGTAAGAGCTGTTAAACAGTGTTCACTCAAATGTTAACTGGTGTATGGAGTCTCAGTTACCTGCTTATGTTCTTCATGCTGTTAGTGACAAGTTTCATATTTACATGGAGCATAATGACAGAATCCAAGAATTAGGGTACTGATAAATACAGAAAGAGTCTTGGAAAAACTTGCTGTATTCAAGAGAGATTGATAGACTAACTAACCTCAACAAGATTATATTTCCTAGGTACTCTTCATAAAGAAAGCTGACTATACATTTTTTTTCCTCCCCAACTTCCCCAGTAAAGCAGAACATTGATAGTTACCTGCATCTTCACTTCTGCTCATTCCTATAGAGCCAAGGGGAGAAGTGTGCAGTTTTACAGTTGACAGATTATTTCTTCATTCCAAGCATTCACAGAAACAATTTGTGATTTTCAAAATCAGCTTTGATTTCACAAAACTTCTCCCTTTCATGACCTTGCAACAGAATCTTAAGGGCTTTGATTCTACTCTTAGCAAGATCAATCAGTTTTTACCTCAACATGCAGTGGGCCTACATTTTATACAGTATCCCTCAAACAAAATGCATCTCAGCTTGCCTTGTGCAAAGAGCACATTAATACGTCCATATGTAAACAATTAAAGTGAAACACATGGGCAGAAGCACAAAGAATGCATGTAAATCAGAGGTTTGTTCCACTGAAATTTGAATTGAGATGAAGAGCTAAACTGATCAAAAAAGCCCCCCTAAAATAGTCAACAGAGTTTGCAGCAGAGAAAGTATTTGTACAATACCACAAAGCACACACAGGGCACAGCCAAGGCTTTAGAGAAGGGAAGGAAACTGTGAGGGGAATGCAAACCTCAGGACATAAATTAAAACCACTGTCGAAAGCTGAACATTTTCTGAAACTGTCAGAGGCAGCATAGAGTTCTAGTACTTTAGACCAACAAAGGAAAACAAGTAATGGCTACAACCAGCTTGGAAGAAACAAGTTATGAATTCTGGAAAGAAAAAACTCTGGATTGATTGAGTAAAACACATTCGTTTTCCTTAATCCTTGGGGGAGGGAGGTTCTTTTGTGATGAAAAGTGTTGGTCAACTTCACACAATATTATACAACAGAGAAACTGCATGGGTGCTTGAAAACTTCAGCATGAGAGCTCCTAACGAAGCATGGACCAGAGCAACCACTGTCCAGCCTAAGCAGAGAAAGCAAGGCCCCAGTCACACTTTCAACTGCGGACTAATACAACTTAAAAAAAACCAAACCAAAACAACAACAAAACAAACAAAAACAATGACAAAACCCCCATCCACCTAGCAGCACTAGAAGATAAATATGGAAATAATTGCTCAGTGCCCAAGAAGTTAATATTATCCAGCACAAAATACACCCAGGATCTGAAGCGTACCCATGGTCTACAGCAAAGCAGGGTTAGGGTACTGCAGCTAGATTTTGACATCCTACTTTGATATAACATGTTTTTCAGCAACTAAATGAAATAGAAAATGCAAATAGGAGCTTCTGTGGGCCTAATGACTTTGTTTAAATTACAGGTTATTTTGGAATGTGAAAACTACTTGCTGCTGGCATCCATGACAACCATGTAGATACTGTTCACTTACTTTAACATTCTACACCAGCATGGTAAGCCATATTTCAAAGATTGGGTTTCAGGGCCCTTGTGTCATGAAGTAAGCTGGAATGACTGGGTGTGTAAGGCTTCATGTTTCTGTCTCAAAAAGAGTAATATAAAAAGTATTAAACAACTTAAGCAAGCAGGATGTGGCAACAGTCCTTGATTTATGAACACTGTTTTACACACCAGACAAGTATTAAGTTTCCCAGAATATCTCAAAAGGGATGTTGCTAAGCAAAGATGATGGCGAAAAGAGTATTTAATTAAGATGTCTGAATGTGTTTTGCAGGACTAACAGCCACATTCCAAACTATCACCACGCAGAAAAGGAAAAAGCTCCAAATACAATGAAAAGGGGATATTTTTAACTCAAGTTTAAGTACAAATATAGAATGGTTTATGCCTGATCCTGCCTGCCATGGAGAAAATGAACTACTGGTTCAGTTGAAAGCCAGCTTCTACATATATTCTTCTGTTAAATATCCAGCACTTGAGACTGAGGTTTTGGCACTCATTTTAACATTACAGGCAAACTGTTTCACTAATGCATTGCTTTTCTTTTTCCTTAAAGAAAACACACACTCCACTTTTGGGCCAAAAGTCAGTCACATGCACCAGACAGACAGAAGTTCACAGTGAAACCAGTTATCACTTGACATGATGTAATGGGTAAGCTTACAACTTACCAACAGCTATGACTCCCACCAGCTCACCTTTTTGGCATTTCCATTTTAGATTTACAGAGAATTACAGAAAGGTCTTTCCAAGAAGACTAAAAGTAAACAAGCCAAAACCAATTATAAAAAAAAAAAAAAAAAAAACACACACAAAAACTATAGCTAACCTACTACCTTAAAATCTTTTAAACAGACAAAAGCAATTCACAGCAGATAAGAACGCACTGTAAAGTTTAATTAAACTGGCTCCCTCTTTTGCATCTGTTAAATAAAATTGCATCCTTCCAACAAGGGGCAAGAGGCCATGGATTTTGTTATTAATTTTACTTTCATTGTACACATAAATGTTTAGGCCATGTCTTACACAAAACAAATAAGGACATCAAGACGGAATTACACTGTAAGTGAGATTAATTAGAGACTGGACCAAAAATTACATGGAAGATTCTACTTGGTAATTAATAATGACAGCTATATCAAACACAAACAGAACTGAGGTCAAGAGAGGCACAACACCAGTAAAGAGGTTGCATAAAAATAGGAACATACAGTGACTCATTCTTGAAGCTTTATTATTTACTCCACCTAAAGTACTGATGGCACCTTTAACAGATGCACAGAAACATTCTCAATCCTTTGTAACACTATGATAAGATCAAATAGGTCTATAAATCTCCAAAGTGCTGCACAAACATTAAGCTCCAAGAAGGATATGAAAGGGTAGCATACAAGACAAGTACTTGCTCCAGGGCAACAGAGAAATGCAATGAATCGAGGGTTCCCAGGTTCTCATTAGCACCTAATTTTGCATTTAGGTTTCAGCCATGTTTCAGACATTTAATATAAAATCTTCTAAATATCACCTATGGGTCAGGCACTATACAGTATTGTCTTCATGACTTTGTAAGCCACCAGCAATCATGAAGCTACTTATACAGCCAGGGGTACTTTCAAATCTGAAAGCTACCGGTGAAATTTATGAGAACTTTTCAGAGTTTATCCATAAATGCTGAAAAGTACAATTGCAAGGACTATGTATACAAAGACAGTGTAGCAAAAACAGCAGCAACAGCAACAACCCTGAAATTGCCTTGTTCTGTTCCTCCCCAGCCACATTACCTGCAGATGCAGAATTCAGAAATGAATTGCCTTGGCTTAGATCCTGGGACAGTTCTGCTGAAAGAGATCTCAAGGCCAGTAAAAACCCTCTCTCTCAGAAGGAAAGTCTTGAAGATTTCAAAAATGGTGCAAGCACAGCTCTTTCTGAACTTGTGGCTTGTAATGTAAGCTGCCCTGAGATTTTTCAAGTTCTTGTCACTCAAGCAGAGAGATGCTGAGAAAGAAAGCAAGCACATGGCCCAAATTCTAAAATTCACAACAAAATACATTGCCCATTTCACAGAAATGAGATCAACTTGGTAATTAATATTACAGGTTTGTGTGCACATACAGGTCCAATGGGCAAACACATTCCACTCACTACATGAAATACAGAAGATATAAATATTTTTTAATATCTGCATTGTTTCATTCTAATTCTGTCATTATCTCATTAACTCATCTGTCTCTCTGTAAATTCTTAATAGAAAACATTTTTCTGAATTTTCCATTTAGCCTGGAGTGCACATATCTGAAAAAACAGCTTTCCTAATAATGATATTAAGAAATGTCTTTGGCATTGCAGTAAGTTTCAAAGTTTGTGAAAATCTGAAGGAGAAAGCTCTGACAAGCATACAGTGAAGTTCTAGCTGATACTGTAACTATTCAGGCTCCCAGCAAAGAAGAAAAGAAATCCCATAATACTGCATATTTGAAAGTTTTCTAATTTTATTGTTATTTAAAGTATAAATACTTCACATGAATCCTAATCCACTGTAGCAGGCAAGCTCATGCTCACTTTAAGCAGGTTAGCATTCCAGTTCAGCTCAAGGGGACGAGCATGCTACTCCAGTAATTTGTTTGATAATTGTCTAAATTAAAAATTCACAATGGCACAAAGAGAAGTTGTTATATTTCCGCATTGTTTGCAGTAGTCAGCCTGTCCCTCAAGGGTATCCTTCTTACATGTGTGGGCATATGAAGAAACCACTTGCCAAGTGTTTCACTATTGCAGGATGAAGACATTTAAACCAAACCTTTCAAGCAGTCAATGGAACACAGTCTGAAAGGTAGGATTATTTACTTTTATTCTCCTTGTGTATGTTTAAAACTTACTGGCCATTCACTATTGTAACTTCAGCACTCCACAAGAAAAAACATCACTGGATTATTTTTCTCTCTGCAGTACTCCACCATATTTTCTATTGATGATACTCTGCTGCTACAAGCACTGCTGACAGAACAGCTTCTGAACTAGGATTCTTTCCAACCCCTAATATTTCTAATGTAACAAATAAAAGCTTCCACTCTGAAGTTTTGAAAAGGTACTGGAAAGAACCACCACAGGAATACAAAGTTGACTCATTCTAAGTCAGTTAACACAGGTGGAAAAGGCAGGAGAAAATGTGGGAATGTAGGCAAATGGTACAAGGACGGAAAAGAAAGAGGGGGCACATGGTGGAAGGAGAATACATTGGAAACCATAAGGATTGATTTAGCTGAAGAGGGAGAGTATGCTGACTTCTGACAGTTCCCTTACAAAGATCTGCAGGTTATTCCATTAAAGGGTCAAACACAATATCCTGACACTTTTAAGAAAATTCCTTTTGTTATCTGCTTGGGTTTTTTTTACAGAAGAGAATCATTGGCTCGTACTAACTGCTCACAGCTTTATCTAATTTTCTTTATGTTAAGAGAGGCTGATGTTCTGAGCAGTACACCACCACCACCACAATGCCTGTCACTAGCAGTATTTCAGATTATATGAATAAATGAGAAGCATTTGAAATATTCAGGGCAAGATGATTTTGGGGGACACAAAGCTACAATTGAATGCCACAACTAAGGTCACATATCCTGCCTGGCCTCAGTTCTGCCTAGAGGCACATACACAAAAACCTCCAATATCTGTTTGAAGCAATCTCCATAGACATCCAGGCCTACTTTCAGAATATTGCTCCCTGAAGTAAAAATGTATGTCATACCTGAAGGATAAAGTCCTGGAAAACTCCAGCAATGTCTCTTCACGCTCACTGCCAAAAACTCAACAGGGACAAAAAAACATACAAAAACTCCCAAACCAAAACTGGTCACGAGGTATCTCCCAGATCACCTAAAGATTTCGAGTCTTCCAATTGCATTTTTTTAAGGTTCTGCTATCTATAGCTCTCAAATTGCTGCAGAAGGCTAATAAATTGTTTCTGGGTTATCACTATTGCACAGGATTCACAGACAAATACAAGAGGCGACAGCTTCCAGCAGGTGAAGGATCAACGAAGAGCTTGATATCATAGCATCGTACAGCATGCTGCTATGCTGCAAGCTAGTGGCAGCTACATGACAGTGTACATGGCATTATCACATAACATAGCTGGGAAGCAGTCTGGCTTGCCAAGATTTTCTCACAGACTAAAACTGTGGCAGCATATTTTAATTTTCATGCTCATTGTCTGCTATTTCAGCTTTTATGACAACCCAAGTAGAATTTCTCATTGACATCAGCATCCATAGAACTGATACAATAAAAATTATATTATTTCAGAAGGCTGAAAGAAAAAAAAAAAACCACCTTTTTATATACATATTCATATATATATATCTTCCACTGAGAAACAATCTGCATCTGGAAAATATTTCTGTATTTAAGCAGACTTAGTCTTCAGCTGCAAACGGAAGTCTATGGAAAAGTTACTTCTGAGCCAAAAGACAGAATACAAGCAGCTCCACAACCAGTTGTGCTGACATTCAAGATTCAGCTTGAAGGATTTGTTTGCTTTCCTGTCAGTACTGCCACGAAAGTCAAACTGCAGTTTCTGGCTTGTCCAGCCAGTAATGGGCATTCTGAAAGGCAGATTCTGTCCTTATTTGGATTCTCTCAGTCCCCTCTGGTGAGGGTGCAGGAAACTAAAGCCATATCAAGGCCAAAAGAGAATCTGTTTCGTATTCACACTGCCATGTCTATCCTGCATTGCTACAGGATTTTAGGGACCACCATACCAGTTCAAAAAAGTGACCTGAGTGACAAGCAATAACCAGATTTTCAGCTCAGTACTTAACTTTGGTACTACTTCATGTTTAAGTCACACGTAAGTATTGAGGTACCCCAGTTATGCCCCAGTAGGCACTCTAATTCATCAGTTTGCTCAGCAGCATCTCACATGCAGCCAGAAAGAGACATAGTCAATAGTAAACCTGTCAAAGGCTGAATGCAGCTGCAGACCCTGACATGTTGTTTTCTTCAAACATACCTTTCTGACCTCAGCATTTGCCCTTCTTCAAATTCAGCTAAAATTGTGATCTGATCTTTCATCAGGGGCAGCAATGTATTTAAACTATTGCTTTAACATATCTTTGCCCTCTGCAACTGCTGAATTTTTTCAGTCCTCAAAATTTACCAAAGCTGTTAATATATCAATGGATCAAACATCATGCTTATGTTCTCTTTCTCTAGACTTTGAGGCCTAAGTTTATTGAGTCCTGTAAAGTTATTAAGTCCTTCTTTGTTACCTCATCATTAATCCAAAGGTTAAAATCTTACTTCAGCTAGCCCTGTAGACAGAAGCAGAAACACCTGTAAGAAAGCTATCACAAGACCTTTAATTTTTCTGATTTCCTTTATATGTTAAAGATGTCTGAGACACCTACTGGAGGAAACTAAAAAATCACCAGATTTGTAGTTGTACATAGTTTCTATGCCAGGAGAAATGGTTCAATCATTAGGAAAAAAAGAAAGTGTAAAGAACAATAGCATACATATAAAACCCTCAGTGTTTCCAATGAAACAGACAACTAGTCAGAAATCAGTCAATGGAGGGACTCATCAAGATTTATTTTAAGTAATCTGAAATGCCTCCACTGGTTTTAGTGTATAATTGTCTCTCAAGTAGGCACACAGAATATGGATGCACCCCATGTTAAAGGCTCGTGGTCTTCGGGATGCTCAGACCAGTCTACTAAGCAGTGTTGGAATTACAGAATATCAGTGAAGCAGGATAGAGAACTCTGAATGTAGGTTTGATCCTCCAGCTGATATGACAAGGGGAAATACCTAGGACAGGCATTAGTTAACAACTCAAAATACAGACACTTTTAGAAAGAATCAGGAAGCAGACTTGTGAAAGTACAAAACAGGAACTACATGAGAAGACAAAGAACAGAGCAGTATTTTGGAGCATTCAAATATTTCAGAAATTATTAGGAGCAAATAACAGCTTTCAAAAGCTATGCTAAATTGACGTGCACATGGAAGAGAACTTCAAAATTATAGCTTTTATTTTCACTGCAACATCTTTATAAGATACCTAATATTCTAAAACATTAAAATACAGAACTTGAACATATGGCATGAATCAGTCGTCATGCACTTCTCTTTCAGCAACCTCATGCAAGCAAGTCAAACAAGTTATCTATATGGCATCTTCCTACTGTTACTTTCAGAAGTGCCTGACACATAAGAACAATGACCCTTTGACATCCATAATCAGGACATCAGTAGTTGTGTTTCCAAAGCTGAGAAGCAAATAATGAGACCATTTTACCAACAGGAAGAGAAAACTTCTTGGACTACCATGAATGTATTTCCCACACATAGAAGAGGTACATTTATAAACACCTAAGGATAGGTACATGAATATAGAAATACAACCTTAAAACCTAACTTAACCTGCCTTTTTTTTTTTACCACAAAGATTGTGGCATAAAAATGGCAAGCTGTTTACTCTAGTTAAATCTAAGTTGTCTTGCAAGACTGGACAAAAGAGTCATGTTTTTCTCTTTAGAAGATTCACTGCATCACAGAACATGAAGTCTCCACTGTCCTCAGGAGGAATGTCACAAATCAGCAGCCAGTGCTCAGTTTCTACCCATACCACTACGATGCCAGTGGGACCCAGATTCTCTGCAGCATAATTCCTAGCTAGCAGAAGTTATCCATATGACCTGTCCTCAGAGGCCTATTCAAGATTCCATTTCACTAAGCTTAGGGCAATCTATTGTATATTATACAGGTATCATCCAGTCAGGATGGAAAATAGGCATTTTAAAGGACTTTTTTTTTTATTCTAACTCCATTACTAATTGTGTTCATTCTAATACTTTTAGTGTCTTAGTAACGCTTTGGTGAATATCAACAACAAAGCCCCAAACTGAAATTTACAGCATACTCTGGAAGTCAATAGACACCACATTTCCACCCAGATGTCCGGCTAACTAAAGCTAGATGTCCAACATCTGGGTGTCCATTTTGAAGGACATACCAGAGCTTCTATCTTCTTGACAGGTCTCAGCAAAACATCTCCTGCTGAGCTTATCCAGGAATTGTAAAAGAAGCAGAGTATATGTATTAGGAATCAGGAAAAGCTGTTCACCCAAAGACGTCATAGGACAGGGAATCCAAGTTAAGAGCAAGGATTTGTAAGTTAATATCCACATGTGTCTATGCCAGGAGGGACAAGTCTGGATACCCAGCCAAGTCTGCTGAGAGTTTATGAACCCCCCTGCCCTAAGGTATGACTACATCAGATTTCCTGTGGCCTAAAACCACATGGTATTGCTGAGGCTTCAAAGGCTGGCATCTCACACACACTAACAGCAAGTGTTCAACCTAAAACAAAGCAGCCATAACAATTCTAAGTTCAAACCACAAAGGAGGCAGTGATCATTTTATATAATATTCAAAGGGGTAGACAATTCTCTCATATATTAGTTTGACCCTCAGCCTCAAAGCCATGTCTCGCAGCTATCAAAGTCACGCCCTTGATGGTACACCGTGAAGAAAGCTGCCAAAGCCTGCCACTGGGAAGGGTGCTGTTTCAGGCAAAGCTTAAGCAAAAGGTCCTGAAACTAGCTGTGTCTAGTTTTAACAAGACATTGGATGAAATCAAGGTTTTTCACACCAAGGGTTGGAACCCTTTCAGACCAAGGGTTGGAACTCAAGAATCCATTCTGCAAGATGCAAAGTTGCACAAGATTGCGAAGGGACACTTTAACCTCCCAAGAGGTAAGATTTCAGATATAGTCCCTCTTTGTGACATGAAAATTGGCTATAAGTATTTTGAGGCTCCAGCTGTGT